AAAGGATCCTGTTGATGCTGAGGCCATACTTTCTGCAGCCAGGAAGAAAATTCAGATATTTGAAAATGGGATTTTAGCTGCAGAAGATGTCGATGATGTTGAAAGAGATGATGTTGAAAATGATGAGGTTGAAAGAGACGAGGAATCTGAATGTGAAGTTGATGAAGATCCTGAAGTTGATGACTTAGCTACTCCATCAGTTGCAAACAAATCCCCTGATGATTACAATGAAGTAATTAGTTTCTCAGAAAATGGAAAGGACAGTTTAAGCAATGATGTTGGACTTGCTGTGAAAAATGAGTTTGATAAGGATGTTTTATGTTCCCCAGTGACTGGTTCCAAAGATGCATTCTGTCCTAGTGCTTCCTCAAAACAGTGTGTTTTGGGTGCAGATATTAGTACTAGTCATCTTGACCAAGAAAATATGGAGATTGATGAAAGCAAGTCAGGTGAGTCATGGGTTCAAGGACTTACAGAAGGGGAGTATTCTGACCTCAGCGTGGAAGAGCGTCTTAGTGGTCTTGTTGCCTTAATTGGTGTTGCAAATGAAGGAAATACCATTCGTATTGTTCTGGAGGTAAACATTTCCTTTCATGTTTTTGAAATCAATGTATTACTGTACCTTCTGTGTTAAAACTTCAATTTGACACCAAAATTCAACAGGATCGCTTAGAAGCTGCAAATGCTCTTAAGAAGCAAATGTGGGCAGAAGCACAGCTAGATAAAAGTCGCCTAAAAGAAGAGAATGTTGGTAGGTTAGATATTCCATCTTTAATGGGAGGCAAAGCTGAAGTACAAGCTACCGGAGTAGAGGACGGCCTAAGTCCCTTACGGGATGTTGATAACAGGAACATTGATGCATCTCCAGTCACTGCAGAAAATGAAAAGTCAATCCATGGGTCACAAGGTGTTCAGAATCAGCTTAATGGCGTGCATGTTGAAAGGACCTCAGCAGCCCAAGATATCTCCATGGGTTCTGATAACTTTTTGACTCAGCAACTTGCATATGCATCAAAAAGATCGCGCTCACAATTAAAATCGTATATTGCACATAGAGCAGAAGAGATGTATGCATACAGGTCCCTGCCTCTTGGTCAAGATCGTAGGCATAATCGATACTGGCAATTTGTTGCATCTGCATCAAGACATGACCCTGGTTCAGGTAGAATTTTCATTGAATTGAACAATGGAAGCTGGAGGCTTATTGACACTGAAGAGGTAACACTCAACAGCTTTTTATAATCTGTTTCAGGAGCACTTGTCTGTGAGTGTTTTGGAGTTTAATTTTGCACAATAAATGTTGTTGGTTATGCAGATTACATTTTATCTTTAGGATAAATCATCATTGACCCCGTCATCTCTTTTAAGTGAATCAAAGTTGTGTTGGGCATCATGAGCTTCGTAGCAAAGTTGGAAACTTATTATCCTTTTATGCTTGCTAGATTTGACTTGCTGTTTCAGTTGGCAGTATGTCTTAGGTTCTCAAGTAACATTTGTAATAGGTTTTTGTCTGCTTGCTGGCACGATTTTTATGCTTGCTAGTTTTGACATGCTGTTTCAGTTTCTTTTAAGAGTTTCTTTATTATCATAATGTTTTTAATTCATTGTCTGTATAGGCCTTTGATGCTCTTGTTACGTCTCTGGACACACGTGGAATTAGGGAATCTCATTTACGCTTAATGTTGCAAAAGATTGAGGCATCCTTCAAGGAGAACGTTCAGAAAAATACGCATCGTCCTAACAATGCAGGCCCAACTAAAAACCATGTTAAAAATGAAGCTGACGAAATGGATTCTAGTCCTGATTTCCCCTCTCATTTTGACAGCCCTGAAAGTGCAGTTTGTGCTTTGAATTCTGATACAGCACAGACCTCATCTTCTTTCAGAATTGAGCTTGACAGTAGTGAAACTGAGAAAAGGGCTGCCTTGAGGAGGTATCAAGATTTTCAGAAGTGGATGTGGAAAGAATGCTCTAATTCATCTACCTTATGTGCCACGAAATATGGGAAGGAGAGATGCAGACCGCTGTTTGACGTCTGCGATGTCTGCCTTAATTGTTATTACTTTGAGGATTCCCACTGCGATACTTGCCATCAGACTTTTGATGCTTTCAACAGAAATTTTGACTTTGGTGAACATGTAATGCAATGTAAAGAAAAAAGGATGTTGGAACCTTGGAATTTCGATATTCCTTGTACTTCTCTTCCCTTGGCCAGAAGATTGCTCAAGACATTAATAGCTCTTGTTGAGGTGAGATACTGATGCTTTACACCTTGGGCACCGCTGGCATCTCATGTATCCACGCTTGATGTTTTATTCAGTCTTCATATCACTCACTGTTTGTTCGACAGGTATCTATTCCACCAGAAGCTCTTCATTTGTCTTGGACTGATGACCATCGAAAGATGTGGGGAGAGAAACTGAATGCATCATCATCAATGGATGAACTTCTTCAGGTTTCTATCCCTTTTCTTGTTTCATTCTTATGGTCAACCCTATATCCTGATCTAAACTTCTGCAAAGAATTTGTGTTCCTGGTTTCTTTTTCTTTTTTCTTTTACAAACAAAATGAAAGCATCACGAGGAAAGATTTATCCATCAATTTCACATGCATTTTTCTAACCAGTACGACCATGGCACCTCATACGTCTATTCCTCAAACTAACTTTTTATATGATAAGTTAGTAAGTTACTCATTTTTGGACAAACTTCCTTGCAGATATTGACTCTGGTTGAGACTGCAGTGAAGAAAGACTTTCTGTCATCACACTTTGCAGTGACGGAGGAATTGCTGGGCTCCTGCAAACAGTCGGGGGTTGTTCGCGATTATCTAGACAGTGGATCCGTTCCTGTACTTCCTTGGATACCACATACAACTGCAGCTGTGGCTCTGAGGCTTCATGAGATAGATTCATCAATTACATATGTAAAGCAAGCGAAAGCTGAGCCCACCGCGGACAAGGAAGTGGGAGAATATCTCGTGAGTTTTTCCCATTTTTCTCTCTGTAAAGCTTAATGACAGAAAAGCATGTAAATCTTTAAAATACAGCTCTTATGAAATCCCATAGATGTTGAATTGATGTTGGTGGTGTCATACAACTTCCACCGTGTCATTGAACTTACATGTGCTTTTTTCGTCTACAGAATCAACCGATGAGACTTCCGACATCGAGGAGTGAGACTGAACTAACTGAAGCAGGCCTCAATGAATACATGAGGGAAGAAAACAGTACTCACCTGAAAAGTGGACGAAACAGCTTTAGACGTGGTAGAGGAGGTCGAGAGCAAGGACGCGGTAAAAGGTGGCAGAAAAAAGTGAGTAATCCCAAATCTGGTGCAAGTCGTCAGAACATTAGGGGTAATGAGAATTTGAATCAAGGGTTGAGAACGGTGGGAAAAAGAACGCAGGGACAAGGGAGCGGACGGGGTCGCCGAACTGTTAGAAAGAGGAGAATGAAGAACAGGGCTGTTGAGGGGACACCTCTTGCCCATGTGAGTGACATGCGCAGCAGCCCCGAGAGTGGAGGAGAATCACCAAGAAACTTGGCTGAGGAATGGGACGATGAAAAGATCGATATGAGAGGTGACGAGCAAGGAGGGGGATTTGAACGAGTAGACACATTGGAATCAGAAGACGACGACCAAGCAGTGGGATACGATCAAGGAAACTGGGAAATTGGATTTGATGGGACTTCCAGCGGATGGAACGGGGGTTTAGTAGAAGCTAGTGACGACGATATAGATGCTTCAGAAGATGACAATAATGTCATGGAAGAAGTGAGAGACGAAGATTCAGAAGGGGATGTAGATATGAGCGATGCCTCGGATGAAATTCTGCCAAACACGATGAGAAACGATGATGGCACAGAGTCGGAAAGTTCGGATGACTCTAGTGAATGAAGCTCGAAATCTAAACTGCCTCTGCGCAACCACCTGAGATACCCCGCGGCTGCATACAATTTTAGATAGTGCAGCTTCAGTAGCTGCCCGTCTCATCCTGATAACAGAAACGGAAATTGATTCCGGCCTCCGGTAATCTTGATTTTTTGCTGTTATAATTATTAGATTAAGATTTTCCATTTGATGGATTAAATTGTTAAATGGTAGTGTATGGATAGAAGTACTGGATTAGGGGAACTGCAGTAGTTTTGCGGTGTAACGTGTAAGTCAATTAAGCGTGTAACAAAACCATTTATTTACCTAATGGAAAGGTAAGCAAGTTACTTAAACCGCAAGCAACACATGTTGTTCTTTGTATTTTAGTTTTATTTATGGAAGATTTTCAAGGACCATTCCTGTAAAAATCACTTCTGCTCGCATTGCTTTTAGTAGAGTGGATTGAACTTTAATTGAATTGTAAGTGTTTCTTGATGATGCACCTAGCACTTTAATAAACGCTTTCATAACTCATAAGCACTTTTAAATTCTACTAAGGAATGAAATGTAAAGTGCTTTGGATTGTGAGAAAAAGGTTTTTAACTTTCAGAAATTTGTCACAAAAGAAACGTTACTAACATTGTCTTTTTAACTTTTTATAATTTCATCCGACTTTTACAAGCACACACGAATCAAGACATGTTAGCTGTTTACCTGAAAGGTGACGAATCTACAAAGTGTAGGTAATATGAAAAAATACGAATAAAATAAAACGAGAGAAACAAAAAAGAGTGCGCAGTGTGCACGTTGAAACTTGTATCCTTGAGATTATTCTTGTCACTCTGGGTACTTTCCTTTCTTATATACGAGTCTAATGAACTTTGAACACTATACAAGTTTTACAAGGGTTACTATTTTAAGAAAATGCCACTTACACACCATTTGTACCATAACTTTCCTAAAAGCGAAAATAGCCCAAACGTAGTAATTTAATTGAGTAATACGAAAATATGCTAATTTGATAAGTCATAAATGTCACGACCCAAAAAATCCCCCGAAGGCAAGACTTGCCCTTCCAAGAGCAATTTGGTCATTTACGGGTCAATTTTCATTAACATCATCAGCTGTTGAAAGAGACTAATTAAGTAATTATTTCAAACAAGCATTGTGGACAATTAGAAAAAGATGAATTCCAACGGACAAGTGTTTCACTCCCCTATTGGACTAACATATGTTTAACCTTACATAACAAACTAGTAACACAAACATCCCAAGCCATCCAAAAAAATATTCACAAGCGCCCTGGTTTCGCATAGCACAGCGGCTCGAATTCGAATCAAGCCGGCAAATATTTCTCAATTCCGGCCTTCTGGTCGGCACTCAATCTTGCCGGAAACTTGATGCTGAATTTGATTCTGAGGTTACCCTTCTTGGAGGGGTCCTTTGGTACAGGCATTCCCTCTCTAGGGACTACCTCCTCGTAGTTTGGACTGATCACATTGGTGATGGGGATGCTGAGGCTCCTTCCATCTAGGGTGGTCAGGTCGACAGTGTAGCCTTTTAGAGCTTCTGCTAGAGTGATCTTCTGCGTGACGACCAGGTCGTTCCCGTCCCTTGCGAATGTGGGGTGTGGTTTCTCATCAATTATGAACACAAGATCAGCAGGAATCATGTTTCCTTGCTCGTTTCCTTTCTCCGGGAACGTGATCTTGGTTCCCTTTTTCCAGCCAGGCTTGATCTGTATGGTTAGGATTTCCTCCACTGGCATTGTCAGCCTGCGTAACACGATGAATAAGGTCATTAAAAACCAGACAAATGATTTGAGATAAAATAGATCATATGAACTGCAATAAGAACGACAAGCTCTCAAATTAACAGCAGGAAAACAAAACATGACTCGAATGTATTCCCTTATTACTTCATCAAAGATGAGAACACAATAGACATGTCAAACTAACGTTCTGTTTTCCCAATGCGACATTCTAAACTGTTCTAATCTACGGAAAAGGAAGTTCAAACTTGAGTGCAACGAGGCGGGAACCCTGCCAACTAAGCTAAGGCACATGCGCTACATTAAAGTAAACTAACGTTAATTTAGAATGCAACAAAATGCTGGCATTGTTAAAATTGGTGACTAATTAATCACGAGCACGTACTTTTCCTATAAGATTGAAGGATGATCAAGGAACATGACTAATTGCGCGAAAGGATAAAAAGATGTGCGTAAATCATTTCCCTTCTATAAACTGAGGAAGAATAAAGAACTTACCCGCTTGCATCTGCAATTTCCCTCAAAATCTTCATCTTCTTGGTAGTCCCCTTATAGAGCTCCTCAAGGCTGCAAGGCAACCTCTTCTCTATTGGTTCAGCTTTTCGTGGTGCATGGCTCATGGGCCGGGCTTCTCCGAATGAACTAAACATGTCCTCCCCAAACATTCCACCGAAAGATCTACCACCTCTCATGCCGCCACTGCCACCGCCCATTCCACCCATTCCGCCCAAAGGGCTCGAAAACCCGAAAATCTCAGCAAAAATGTCGTTGGCGTTTCTGGGGTTGAATCTAAACACATTTGGACCGTCTCCAGTTTGGAAGAAGGTAGCTCCACCGCCAGGCCCACCGGCATCCGGCGGCGGCACTTGGCCTTTCAGCCCTTCTTCTCCGTATTGATCATAGATTGCTCTCTTCTGGGGATCACTCAGAACCTGCAAAATTAAAACACACAGAATCAGATTCCAGGTTCTGGGTTTAATTCACCATCTCGAAGAACGTGGCAACGTTGATTTTTCAATTGTTTGAGAAAGTTTTAGATGAAAAAAAAAAAAAAAAAAAAAAAAAAGGTTCCTGCAAAAATCTACAGAACGTGAAAATTTGAATTTTTATGCCGCTTGAGGAATTTTTACATGAAAAAAAATGGCAATTTAACTTCAAAGTCCAAAACCCAGATGAAAAATCTTCTCTTATCAGATTAAAAACACAATATTTCAAGCAAAACCAATATGAATTCTTCTTCTTCAGGAAAAAAAAAAACAGAGCGAAAGAACAAAAGGGTGAAGAAATTAAACGAACCTCGTAGGCCTCAGAGATTTGTTTGAACTTGGACTCGGCTTCCTTCTTGTTGGTGGGGTTCTTATCAGGGTGCCACTTCATGGCGAGCTTTCTGTAGGCCTTCTTCAAATCGTCGTCGTTGGCATTCTTGTCCACCTGCAGAAGCTTGTAGTAATCCACACCCATCTCTTCCTTCTTCTTTTTTCTCCTTGTTTTTGGTTTGTAATTATTAATATTTTATTGGTATTATTATTTTCCCGAACAAATCTTTGCGAAATTGTAGAGAGCTTGAAGGCTGTGAAAATTTATAATTTGGGCAGCAGCTTGAGATTATTTGACGAACAGGAGGAGGTGGGAAGGGAAAAGAGAAGAATGTGTCGAAGTAACCAGACGACTGTGGAAGTTTCCAGAGAGACTTCTACACGCCGTCGTTTGTGTTTGAAGGTAATGACGCGGTACCCTCAAATTTTGTGGGCTCAAATTACATTATAAAGGCCCAAATTGATGTACCCAAAAATAAGAGCCCAACTAAAAGCCCAACCAGTTTCAATTCTGTGGAAAGGTCCTGCCGTTTGCGTTGGATTTCATCAGTAAGCCATTAATTTAGAATCCGGATCCTCTTTCTGATTTCGGAAATCTGTCAATCATGTCTGTTCATTGTATATCATGCAGTCAAAATTTATTTTAAATATTTTTATTTAAAATTAAACACAAATAATACTTGACAAAAACTGCCGCACAATGTATGATGAACATACATGATTCGTAAATCTCCAAAATCCTCACTAGAATAATCCGAAGAGAATCCTGTAAGATTAATTTAAACAAGGGACGTGTAAGCGTGTAGCTCACGTGATTAATAGCATTTACTTTTGCACCGTTGTATTTTGATTAAGGGGGTGTAGTCAAATTAAGATTTTAAAGGATTTTAAAAGTGATTGATTTGATAGGATTTAATATGATTAAAAACTCTTACAAAATTCATATGGATTTTTAAAGAATTTGAATGGATTGTGGTGGATTGTGGTGGAAGGATTTGAAATCTTAGGGGGTGAGGTTGGATTCTTTTTAGTTTTGGTTATATATACTTTTGGCTCTCAAATCCCACAAAATCCACAACTTATTGAAATCCTCCAAAATCTTAATTTTTTTAATACATGGATTTGGATGAATTTAGAATTCCTTTAAAAAATTTAATTGACTAAACCTAGATTTTAAAGGATTCTAAAATCCTTAATTGACTACACCTAGATTTAAATGGATTTCAAAATCCTTTAAAATCTTTTAATTGATTACATTAAGATTTTAAAATTGACTACACCCCTTAAGTTTGAGAAAATAGAAGGATAAGCACCAGAACAATGGAGGACACCACATGGGAGCAAAAATTGAATGCCCTAACCCACATCCTAAGCAACCCAACAACTGCGCCATCTCTCCACTCCCAGCTCTTCATCGCCACCCAAAATCTCCTTCTACTTCAACCGTGGCTACCTTCCCATCCACCTCCAATTTGCCCTCTCTCTCTCTTTCTCAAACCGGAGAAGGGCTCCCCCAGACCTCCTGGAGGTCCAAGTGCCCTTACCACCAGCCCCCGCCATTGGTTCTTGCAAGGGGTGGAGAGGAAGCTCAGTGGTGAGGACCGAAGGATAGAGAGGTTTAGGAAGAGGATGAGGAGAAAACGATTTGGCAGTGCCAGTGATGTGAATCCTGTGCTTCGTATTTTGGCTCCCAATATGTTGCTGTTTTCTCTTCTGCTTTGGAAACCTTATCCGGGCAGGATAATGCTAGGAAGATAAAATTTGTAAACTAAATTTTGAAAACTAAAGAATAAGGAAACTGATGATTGATTTATTACTTAAATATTAATAAATGTGCTCATTCTTATTAATGTCACATCATTTAGTTTACAAATTTAATCTCTATAACATTACCCTATCCGAAAAGTCATAGAAATTTAAGATTAGGAACTTTCGTGCCACATTACACCTTCACTCAAGACACAATGATCCCTGCATTTCGAGCCCACCGACTTGCGCCTGTGTGGGATCCGAAGAGTGTTTTCTTGTGACTGAGCGCAGACGAGTGAAATGGCCCGAAAGTCCCAACTCAAGAATCTGTCGCAAAAGTGGTTTTTGTTAATCTTATCTTAATAATATATCTGGGTTTCTGGAAAATCTGTGTTTTAAAAATGTTTTTGGGATGCATAAAAGAATGTATTTGAACTAGCTTAGCTTTCAGCTGAAATTAGTAGTCTTTACAGATGTATATATTGTTTATTTTGAGCGATTAGCTCTTCCCACTTACCTTACAAAACTCAACTCTGCAAGAAAAATTAAATGAAAGGGACAACAAGAAAACAGTTAATGAAAAAAAACAATGATCGGTGCTATCCGTGGTAAAAGAGATGTGTAAATAGTACTATTCAAAATAACAGCAAGTAGGAATGGAGAATCTTACTAATTATCAGTTTTATATCTATTGTCTTTATCTCTCTTTTTACATAATACGTTAGTAAGAATGAAAAAGATAAACAACACAATATACAACTGATTGCAAGACACATTCTATCTACAAATACACCGTTGAGACAAGAGACATGAGAAATGAGAGTGATAAACACAAAAAATATACAACTGATTGCCAAACATTTAATGTCGAAAAGGCACACTTTGAAAGACGAAAACTATGCTCCCGCTAATCGCGCAACAGATTTCATTTAATTCAAGAAAAAGAAAAGGGAAAGTGAACTAGATATAAAAGAAAAAGAAAAGGAATTTGGGTGCTTTTTCAAACACAAACGTTGACAAAAGCTTCTTCCATTGTTTAATTATATTCCTCTGAGTCCAAGGAATGCTGGTCGTTGAGGAAGAAGAATAACCCTAATTTTCTTTCCATTAAAAAGCGATCCCGAGCAAACAAGGTTTTTTATTTTATGAGAATAAGAAAGAAACATTTATCGTACACAAAAGTCTAGTTTCGTTTCCATTGAGAAAGGAAGAGGGAGGAAGAGAGAGAGGGGGCTGAGTGGGCCACCTTTGCATCAATCAGTTGATTCAATCTGTAACTGCTATAACCAAACATTGAATTGAAGACCTAACTCTCGGATGGCTACTCACATTAGTTGGCACACACCACTTACCACATGCAAAACTTCAATACCAAATACCAACGCCATTGTAGGTCACTAGCGACTAAGACTCTTCAATATTTATGAAAATCTTGATGTGAAATTTGAGTCATTTTCTTTCTTGCTTGTGTGGATAAGTTAAGAGCAGCTATCTTGTGATTTGGCTCGGCCAAATACCAAGGCCAATTAGGTTTAGGTTTTCAATCGGTGTTAGGAAAAGGAGAAAAGGAATGACCACAAGTTATTTTCCATAAAAATTAAGAAACAGCTTTTCTTTGTAATCCCAATCGGTTTAGGATTAGGAAATAAGTTAGTTTTCGTTAATCTGAAAGGATTTAGAAATTTTATACTTGTAAGGCATGTAACCATCGATCTATGTACTATAAATAGACTTGTTGGGGGCTGCTTATTCACACGAACAACATAGAAAATATAAGGGTAGATGGCCAAGAGTTCTTTATCCAAAATGTTATTCTTCATAGTGCAAGTGATTTCTTAAGAGAGATTGCACGTGGAGTAGCAAAGTTCGCCGAACCTATAACTAAATTCTTTATGTTTTGTGTGGCATGTTTACTTTATTGTTCATATATTTGTATAGCATCATCTTATAAGTTGGTATAACATCATAGACAATCGATAAACAAGATCAACTATGAAGGATTAAAATTTATCAGATATACACTTATATGTCTATACTGCTCCTAATGTAATATGAGTCTATTCCCATTGCAAGTAACTCTGTCTCCGTCAACCAATTACTTTAGGAAATCTAAGTATGCACGCAATTACATAAAACCAACTTGCATAATGTGAAATCATCTATAAGTTAATTAAAGACAATGTTGTGTGAGATTTTTTCACCGCATGAGGTTGCTTTTTCAAAGGTTTTATTTACTGTTTTTTTCTGTCTTTATTTTCTGGTAGGAAGGTGCTAAATAGGCTTTTGCTTTTACAAAATCAACACCAATGATAGCATGTGCCTCTTCTTTTTCATCCTTCCTTTCTTTTGGCTTTTGTGAAATGGTCTAGGGTTTTTGGTGGTGCATATACAGATACAATCAACAAAGAAACTTCCTTTAACCTTCCACCTTTTTCCTTTGAAATTAGAGAGTTTTAACGAAAAGTCCGCGGTAGTATTCATTTTAACGAAAAATCACATTTTTACATTAAAAAGTCAATCCTGGTACTATTCACTTTATTCTTTATTTTGTCATTATCATTTAAACTCAAAGTTTTCAAACCATTTTCATTAGTTTTTTTTTTTAAATTATGACTTTAAAAAATAAATAAAATGTGACAGATGGAATTGAAGAAGATATAATGAACCACAAAAACTTCAACATCGTCTTTATTTTTTTCACTTTTTTTCTGGTGACAATTTAATAATTTAGTAGTTGGGATCTAAATATTAGCAGATGAGATTGTTGGTCACTATTTTTGGACCATATAAAAATGAAATTGTTATGAACTATCTGTATCTCTAATTTCATTTGAGTTTTGTATTTATGCAACTTAAATATTCCAACTAACACAAGAAAAATCCACTTAAAACAAAGTTAAATTACAGAAACCAATAGGATAGTATCGCAAATTAATCATTCATTGTCACGTTAATTCAAGCTTAGCACATAGACAATACAAACGGGATGACATGGAGCACCGTGGTGCAACAATCTACTCTAATACATCAAGAAAGTTGAGGTTCCACCATAAAACCAATTGCTAATATAGGGAGTAACCCAACTTATATATAAGTTCATGCAAAGTCTCTCATCCCATCAATGTGGGATTCGTTCTCAACATTACGCATGTATGTATGTGCGTGATTGACTAAGGATGGTGTTAGTCACACACCCATTTTTACCTTTCACACATTTTTTTTAATTCTTAACGACTGATCTTCTTCAATTCATGCTCCAACACTCGAAAATTGAAAATGATGTGTGAAAAGTAAAAATCGGATTATGAATAACACTACCTTTAACTAAAGATACCGTCACAGTTGCATCCACCGTGTAGGTTAGAACATGAATCATTAACTCCACAATCCAGCATAATTACACGGCCACGTCAATGATGTCTATGGTGTCCATCATGCTTCTCCTCTGGCACCATTTAGATTTTATTTCCAAATTATCCTTTGTCATATTTCCAATTTATTTTTCCCCCTCAGCCTTCGCCTTGGGGAACATCATGAGCACCCTCAATTAAAGTTCACATTCCCTTATCAATTGTGCTAGATGGCTTCTTGTTGTCCTCATTCATCTTATATCATGTTTTTGGTTTGCTTGGACTGAAACAAAAATCAATGGTCATAACTCAAAAGCATAATTCTATGAGCAAGTGCTTATTACACACCTTATAAACTTCGATGGAGCGATTCTATGAGCACAATTCTTACATCAGCACTGATTTGGTCAATGTTTTTGTGAGAAGTGTTTTACAAATAAAACGAAAACGTGGATAATCAAAATAACTAAACACTTATTGAGTAACCTAAAAGCATGTGTGTATTGTTGAAGTGGGACTATTGTTGAAGTTGGATTAACCTAAACAATACCAATAGTTGGATTAACCTAAAAGCGTGTGTGTGTGCGCGCGCGCGTTTTAAGGATAAAATACAAAACTTATTAACTGGAAAAGAAACAAAGTGCTCAATATTGTTGAAGTTGCATATCAAAGTGGGGACCACAAACCATCACTCATCCTTCACCCCATTTGCACCTAATAAGTTGAAAAAATTGGTTGAGAAACAAGAAAATGTTTCTCTGTATCAGAGATTTTTTTTAATGTGCTGGAACACGGTTCGGTATACTAAGTGTTGTAATAGAAGTGGTTGGATATTTGAAAAAAAATTTCAACCACTTAAATTACAACATTAGATGTATCAGATCGTGTTTTCGACACTGAAAAAATTTATGTCTCTCTATATAAACAATGCATTGCCCACTAGCTCTCCCTCCACTATAACACTCCCACTCTTCACCTCACAATCCAAAGCAGCTGCCTCCCACAACAATTGCCACTTATGGCTCCTCCTCCTCCCAAATTCTTCTCTCTCCTATTCCTCCTCTCTCTCCTCTTCTCTCTCCAAGCTCAAGCCAGAGAGAGCCAATTCTTTAGCAAAGTTGCCAGTTCTAACAACAACAATGTGAAGAAATCAGAGCTCACAAAAACGGAGACTCCAAAAACAGAGTCTCCAGAAACAGAGCTCCCAAAAACAGAGTCCTCAGTATTCAAGCAAGAGCAAGAGCCAACTTTCATTCCAGAGACTCAAAACGGATATGGCCTCTACGGTCATGAGTCCGGCCAGCTGCCTCCCTCCACCTCATCCAACGGTGGACCCTACAACACCGTCGCCGCCACCACAACCAACGGTGCACCCTACAAGTACACTCCCAACAACAACAACAACCTGCCCTATACGGCCGAGGCAGAGAAGCAGCACAATACAAAGTACCCCGACAGATACAACAACAACTACAATCCCAACAAAAACAACTACTACTACAACGGGAACAACTTTGAGGCCAACCCTAATGGCCTCAGTGACACGAGGTTCGCTCAGAGCAGCTACACCACCACCACTGCCACCCCCAACAACTACCAGAGCAACAACAACAACTTTGAGGCCAATCCCAATGGCCTGAGCGACACAAGGTTCGCTCAGAGCAGCTACACTACCACCCCCAGCACCTACCTGAACAACAACAACTTTGAGGCCAATCCTAATGGTCTGAGCGACACGAGGTTCGCTCAGAGCAGCTACACCGCCACCCCAAACAACTACCAGAACAACAACAACTACTACAATGTTGAGAAGCAGGGAATGAGTGACACTAGGTTTTTGGAGAACGGCAAGTACTACTACGACCCGAGAAGCGAGAGCAACTACAACCAGAACCAGTACGGAAACTCTAGGGTGGCGGACTCAAAAAATTGGTACAACAACAGGGGCAGTTACGGCAACGGAAATGCGAACCAGAACACCTATAACTCCATGGAAGAGTACCAGAATGAGGAGGAGTTCCAAGAGAGCGAAGATCAGTTCGTGCCATGAGACTTGTTTTGAGTAGTACCACTTTGCTGTGTTTTGATATATATATTTATGGTAATATGTTTTCATCGAAAAGAACATGATTAAAGATAGATTATTGTCTCTGTTTCTGCAAAACAATGCTTCAGCGTTCATGCTTTGCAAAAGCTTAAGTTTGTGGACTACGAAAGAGTCAAGAAAATGTATATCAGCTTCTCCCTACAAGGTATTTTGTTTCAACGCCTTGATTTGCCAATTTGGTTGGTCTTTTATTGTAAAAGAGTAGGTTATGCAGGTGATTAAGTTATAACAATATTGGTATTAGAGTAATTAATAGTGGACTGCTAATCCGTCTCTTTGAAAGCTTAACGATGATTGAATTATTAGTTCATTCACCTAATCCCTTTGGCTAAGCTTGAGGCTTAGGATCCTAGCACGCTCATGATATGGTGAAAGAAAAAGGAGACACAAGGTTGCTTTCAAGTTTTCAATGGAGTTAGTTGGTAAAAAGAGTAATTAGTTGGTAAAAAGAGTAATTAGTTGATAAAAAGAGCATAATAGCATTCAAAGTGCTTCAACCTTTTGACCAAAAACTTTATCTTTTTTCACCTTCTTTGGATGGATATTTTATTTACTTTAGAAAGTCTTGTCGCAACGAAAATGTTGTTCTTTTAGGGTCGAAATATCATAGATTCAAGTTATGAAAATAACATATTTATCAAAGAAAAATAAGAATATGTACGATAAATGTTCTCCCCCCCTCCGACCCTTCTAAAGCTCGGTGCCAGGCTTTGGGTCGCCCTTTGGAAAAGTATCATACACGCCAGGAAAACCCACGCTCTTCATACAACCATGTCACACCATGTTATGTTGATAATGTGAATCCAAGTCAGAATTTTTTCACAAAGACGGGGGAACAAAAACCAAACCCCGCAAAGGAAACTATGCCAACAAAGTCATGAAAAACGATAGCTAGAGAGTCTTGAAAATTTCTAGAATAAGCTGCAGACGCAGAGGAAGAGACATGATCACACCATTGGAAGCCAGCATGATCAACTCCATAATTAGATAAGGAATCAACAACCTAATTATCCTCTTAAAAAATATGAGAAAAATAAGAAAGCATTTTAGTTAATAATTTTGAGTTTAATGTTCACATTTTTACGATGCTATTAGAGTCGGCTATTCAAATTTTGAGCCGGTGTTATAAATATTTTTTTTCTTTCTAAGTTTGAAACATACACAATCCATTAATCACAATATGCCACCAAAAATTGAGTAAACAGAGCAATCTGTTTTATCTAACTATCTTCCTCTCACGTCCAACCATCTTACTCAAATTTTGAGTAACAGAGGATGAGTCTTGGGGCAATGGAAATGTTGCTCTTTTGTAATTGAAAGGTCATGAGTCTGAGCCATGAAACCAGCCTCTTGCAAAGATAAGATTGCATACGATAGACATTCTCTCTGACTTTTTCACAAGCGAAAAGCCTTATTAACTTGAGATCGTCCTATTACGTCCATCCATCCAACCAATGCATGCATATTAATAAGCAGTTACATCAATTATGAACTAACTCACTTGATTGGGGGACCATTTATAGAGTATGCCGTTGATCTAGGAGATGAAATTATTTTGCAGTTTGGCCATCCAAATTGCAGAAAACTTGTTCAAGTTTTAAAGCTTCATCACCTACCTATTCAAGAGAGAAAAGCTAGCCAAAATCAGGACACTTTAAAATCTCTACCAAAATTTTAATAGAATTATTATCAGCACTCCAAATAAATTATTATGTGTTAAAAACATAGCTAAAAAAAAAACTGCATTTTAAAGACTGTTTAATAACTATTTCAGAATGTCAATAACATCTCCCGCGTTTCTAACAATCTTTCCCATCCATGCAAGAAATGCATGCATGTGGCATTTATATATATTATAAACTAACCCAATCAATGGGGGACCAAATAGGGGTAGCGGCTCTCTCTACTACCAAAAGCAATTTGACAAATTTGGTGATGTGCCTTTATTTATGGATATGGATGCCCACTTCACCAAATTGTACCACTATATGATTCAAATTATAGTATATAACTGCATTTCCAGTGCCACTGTACTCTGCAGTAATGACGACGGAGAATGTGGGAAGGAAGGAGCATGTAATAGTAGGACTAATAATCACAGCCACCCACTACTCTCTCTCTCTCAAATTAATTATTATGTTTATCTCTCTTTTCACATAACCTTCACGTTAGGCAAGAAAATTAATTATTATGTTTATCTCTCTTTTCATATAATCTTCACGTTAGGCAAGAAAATAGACACAATAGTATACACATCATTCGACAAATGGACAAGGCAACATATGCTCATTGGGGGCAATTGTCCTCACTCAAATCTTTTTGCCATGAAAAATACTCCAACTAAAACTATAAATTACCTATTTATTCAAAAATGATGTCTCAGTCCAAATACTTAACTGAAAATACCCTCTCACGTTCTATACTTTTATTACCCTCTTACCCTTCATAGCCGTGTAAATTTTTTCGTTAGTTAATGGTTTACAATTTTACTGTTCTAAACACGAGTTACCCAAACTCATGTTGTTGGACAATAAATTAATAGCATTGGATCAAAAATTCAATTTATTTTCATCATTCGAAATTGCCCCTACTAAAAAAATGTTTCCAACTCCGTCCATGCTTCGACGTGCAAGTTTCTCTCCAAGTGCAGGTCTTGGACTTCAATTTTAATTCCCTCCAATATTAAAGTGTGAAACAGACTTGGATTGGATCCAATTTGACTACCAACCCTCCATATTTGTGTGATATTTTGAAGGCTGAAAAACTTTTCTTATGGTCAATGTCCAAACCCAGGATGCATTTGAGGTTAGAGGTTCACCAGATGAAGAACAAGAAAAATAAGCCTATAATTTATTGGGTTGCTCACATGGCTCTCTCATAAAATACCTAATATGGGCCTAACTTTTTAATTCACAAGCCCAAAGAAACACCAAACAATCGATTATGTAGCCCACTATGAACAGTTTGACCTTTTAACAAGAAAATGAAACATTTCTATTTGACATATCCACTCTGCACAACTTCATCAGATATGCTGTGTGCATCAACAGTTGAGAATTGCTCAATAGATTATATATAGTTCGCAAATTTTGCACGTTTAGTAAACGAATGTGATCCATCATTTTCCTTTTTCATAAATAACGTATACCTTATATCATAACAAATATTACAATCAATCATGTTTACGTGTATCATTCTGATTGTTAATCACAACAAATCACACATGCTTCAACGAATAAAATCAACTCACGTGTGCGTGCGACTTTGACGTTAGCACTAGTGATAAATTATGATGGAGAAGTGCCGTGTGGGTTGGGATGTATATGACATAGGAGGGAATTGGTGGTGTCGGCACCCAAATTCCTAGAGGGGAAGCCACTTGGTTGGCACTTGGGGTTTGGCTGGTATTGTTGCTAGCGACCAAACCAATACTTTTTTATGCGTGCCTCTGTTTGCCACGTTTGGGAAACTTGATTCTGACATTTTTGTCCCTATCTGACCTACCAAAGTAATCATTCCTCATCACCATTGGCTTCATCATTCACCTCTGTTCCCTCCACTCTCAACTCTCACCTTTGAGTTTCTCATTAGCAGTTATCAGTTTTGTTTGAAAGTACTTTTAGAATTATTGGAATCAACGAAATAACTAAAAGTGTTTATGATAATATTTGGTTGTAGGCAACAAAAGCTATCATATTTGTTTGAAAATGCTTCCTCAAAAGCATTTAATTTAATAAATAGTCTAATGAATGAACATACTCACATAAAAAACGCTCAAATAAGCCTTTTACCGCTCGAAATTTGTCTTTCCTCTCGGGCCTCTGAAATGTGCCCATGTCAACATGTGATTTCTTGGTGTCTACTAATGAATCTCTCCTTCTAATGTACGTGCAGTGATTTTTTGATGAATAATAATGGACACGAAATACTTTGTATTTTTTTTTCTTATCAAACTAAAAGAAATGGATGCAACACAGAGGTTTTTCTGGAAGTCACCCATCTTAGGACTAATCTAGTCCGAACTTACTTAATTTTGGAGTTCTTATGGAATGATCGCATTCACATCCGTTCAAAGTTTCATTTCCTCATGTTGTTGAATCAAGTAATCATCTTGAAGTGCAAGTAGGGCATGCCTCCTGAAATCCAAGGACATGAAATCATTGCAAAATATAGCAAAAAAGGGTAAGAAGTGAATGAGTTTAGCAACCCAGATACTGAATCCACTAAGACACAACCCGAATTACCATTCCCGGTAATTGGTCAACAGTAGTGGGGTTGTAGTTAAAAGAGACGGATGAAAGAATGCAGCTGCAGGCCTTAAATTTCGAGTCACTGCAGGTTACTGAAGAACACAGCTAAGCTGAGCTTGTCCTCGTACAATTTACAGTGCCTGTTTTGATCTGCAGTTTTCACCTTTTACAAATGCATACTCCATTTGGATACAAATTGAACTCAATGTATTGTTTAAGTAGACGATTACAGGCTTTACAGCTTCATACATAACCACATTTCAAGTACAACCCTTGTCCCGCCACCAGCAAGACGGTAAGTGAGAAGTTTTAGGTTTAATTCACTTGTATGACAAGTTCGATACCTAATTATTATGGCTGACCTATCACCTGTTCATGATCAGTCCTCCAACTATCCAACCTGTTAGAAAGTTCTTGGAAATGTCCCACAACTTTATGCAGATGCAGATGCAGATCCAAATTCCAATCATACATTACACTAAGGTTCAAGGTTCAATTTCTTTGATCTTTTGCTGTCGCTCGTAAAAAACATGAAATTTTTTTTGTTTCTGTCAAATTATTTGTGCAGAAATGTGCACTTGATATTCGATTGATCACGATTAACTATCCGATTAAGGTTAACATGTCATGATCAATACTGTTGATTCCGATTTACGGATATATAATTTCCAACCAAAAAGAGCTGCAACATCACCTATCTCTTCTGTTGCTTAATCCATTTGTAGTTGACTTTTGGAAAGGATAGCAGAGATTGTTCAACAGCTTCAACCTCCAAATGTAATTACCTTAATAATTAAATTTTCTCATGTCTAAATGGAGCCACCTAACCATTTGATTTGCACATGGTTTTGGAACGTTCAAATTCAATTCCTGCACGGCTGCACCAAAACCAGACCAACACATTTATGAACACAATATTTACTCAAAACATGGGATTATGTGGCAAAGATAAGATTTTAAATTATTGTATTTGGTTAGTTGTTAAAACTTATGCGTGAGCGGTCGAGTGACACTTGGTCTTCACTTGGTGGGACGAGGTCTAAGTTGCCGTCTACTGTGACTTGTTGTGAGTGTATTAACGGCTCGTTGTAAAAGTATCTTTGTAAATATCGAATTGTTTGTCAAAAAAATCAAGATTATTAGTGGTTAAACCACGGTTGATTTTTAGGACAGGTTGAGGTTGTGTGAATTTGCAGCTATATTTAAAGGGTTGAACTAGACATGGAGGTGGGACCGGAGCTCATTTAATCACCTGATGTATTTTTGAAGGAAGTAAATGAAAACAAGCCTTGTTTTCTCCATAACGTTTTCTCTCATCAGTGTGGGGATTCTCCTGTGAATACATAGTCTTCTCCTTTCTTCTTCCTGCTCAGGCTCTTTAAGCCATGGTTGCAGAGGTAAGTAAACATTCTGCCTGAAGAACTTATAAGTCTCGGGATTCCGAAGTGTGTATTTGTTTGTTAATGCTATTGTCAAGTTTGTTTCTTCTCTTTTAACCTGCAGGTTTGTTTCTTCTGTGCTTCTTGGTTCAGTGTTTGAAAGGGATTATAGGATGAGAACTTAACTCAATTTGCGTATGCAGATGTGGGTTAGGCTAGTTGGTCAGGACAGTGCGTCTAAGTCCTTGTACCTAAGTTTGAATCTCCTCCCCGTAGATTATTTTCCGGCTTAAGAAAGCAGAACTAGAAGCATGCATGCTTGTTCTGTATGAGTTAAATATCAGGAGGAGGAGGAGGAGGAAGTTAAATTAAAAGTATATTTTTAGGACTGCTTTACTTTTCCATTAATCTAATTCTAATCCTGCTTAGATATTGAGAAATTGGTTGAGCTGCAGACATAGATAGCAGGTAGACCTAAACAATGCAACTACTTTATTGGTCAAATCCCTATTGAATATTAATCAATCAACTAATAGGGTTTAATTTTACTAATCACCAATAGGGATCTAATATTACTATTGATGGTTCCCTCTCTTCCACCTAATCCCTGCATTTTCATGCACAATCCATCTTTTTGTAACAAACATGTTTAGGATTTGAGTCAAAAACCTGCATTTTCTGTTGCATTTCTTCATGTAAACACGCGATCTGCTAAACGTTGAGTTGTTAAATCCCCAGGACCTTGAAATGCACCATGGATGGCCCCTAGGGCTTGAGATCATGAACATGAGACTTAGAGTGGTGGAGAGCTTACCAGCTGCAGTTGTAGAACACCGGTCCTCGCACGTTCGCTCCGCCAGTTTCACCTCCTTTTCGTCCTCCAACCTTGACACCGAGGTAAATCCTACCTTTGTTTCAATTGCTTTGATTCCCACATTGCCAAATTGTTCCCTTCTCATGGAATGTGATTGTCTACTTTCCCAACTAGTCCTCAGCATCCTTCTTCCAAGACCACAGCATGTCACTAGGCCGACTAATTGGGATTCGAACGGGTGATAGAGGACGGTTGTACTTCCCCAATTCCATCCGCTTCGAAGAGCATGACAGGATTTCGATCAAGGGTTCACAGTCTGAGGTCTCTAAGAGACGTCGAGTAGACATGTCTCGGCGTATCTGCATACCGCTGCTGCTTGGTGCTCTGGTAAAGATCAGCAGGAGCAAGAGCAAGCCTAAGGAGGCAATGTTTGATGCCAGAGGCTAAGTGCATTTTGTACACTTCCATACAAAGGGAAATAAACTTCACTTCCATTCCTTGGCATTGTGTCACATTTCTCTAGTCATTTGTGTACCGAGAACTGAGTTATTCATTGTGAATCCAGATTTTTATCACAGTTAGACGTGTTGATTGAGAGTCCGAAATTGCTTGGACACTTTGTTTGGAATTGAATCAAACCATGCATTTTGTTAATTTTTGAAACGAGATTTTGCATTTCACACAAAGTATTGCATTTCGCTTGTTGTGCTTGGTCACTTTGCTTCAAAATTTAAAAGTTATGAATCGGAAATATACTTAACTACTTGAGCTACAAGCTAAATACCGTCACTATTTGAAGTTCAAGATTTTATTTTTGACAAATTGATATTCTATTTTAAACTACTTTAGTTTATAGGCATGAAGATTCGAACTTTGATGCAAAAGGGCGAACACACTGCCTTAACCAACCATTTTTGTGAAGTTTTGATTTAACCAAACAAGATTGTTAAATTTTATAATTTTGAATATAAATACAAAGAAGTAGAAGAATTGTAAAGTAATTGTGTAGTTAAGAACGGGAATGGAGATTCCAAGCCGTTAGATCTTGACCGAAAAATCACAGCCATCTCCTTCGTCCACCAATCATCGTATGCCACGCCCTCAATCATAGGAGTAGACATACACGCGAAACACACCAGAACGCTCCACTAAAGTCCCAAAACGTTCTTCCCACTTAACGAAATCCTAAAACCCCAAAACCATCAGCCATCCCACAACCATGTCCTCCTTCGCCGCCGCCAGGTCCGTCCTCCGCTCCTCTGCGGCGCGAACCACCGTGCCCTCGAGGCTCGCCTCCGCCGCCAGTCCCAAACCAGCCTCCTCACCATTTCGCATCCCCAAACCAACCCAAAGCCTCTCCGCTCCTCGCATTTTCAGGTAAATCGAACACTCATCAAACCCTAAATCTCATCACTTTCAATATTAATTATTTTTATCAATTTCAATTTTATTTAAAAATGTGTGCTTTGTTGCTTTGAAGGTCGCCTGTGGAGTTGAGCTGCTGCGTGGAGACGATGCTTCCGTACCACACAGCCACAGCCTCTGCATTGCTCACTTCGATGCTCTCCGTCTCTCAGCGCTCCTACGGTTGGACCTCCGAAGGTATTCCCTCTTTTTCTTTCGAGTTTTCGTTTCATGATTCGTGATGGGTGTTTGCTGAATTGATTATTTGTGGCATTGGATTTGGAAATTGCTTATCGGCTCAATTACTTGTTTCGTGTTCAATTCGTGTTCTTTGTGAGTACATTATAAGTTGTTCTGTTTCGAGTGTTTTAGTCAGTAGGCAATCTGATTTGTCATAAGCAAGGCTTTGAATTGAAATGACAAAATTTTTGCATTGTAGTTTATCTGTGTATTGATCGATGATTGCTTGTTTATGTTCGGAAATTCGATCACTGTGGTTGTTTTTAATTGCAGAGTATTTGCTATATTGTTCTGAAGTGAAATTGGGGTTCTTTTAGTGATTCGTTACTTGTCATCTACATTAGAATTCTAAGGAATGCAGATCATTTAGCATTACTTCAAGTCTATCATTTAACTTTTGCATAAGTTATTACGGTGCATTAAGAAGTGGGCACCTTTACTTGCACAAAAGTTTTAACATTTTGGCTACAATGACTGCCTAATTGTTTTAAATTCTTCAATTTTCTTTTCTTTTTTCTTTGTCTGAGAAGGGGGGTGATGTTAGATGATCATGGATGGAAGTATTGCCAGGACTTAAAATCAGTGAGACAATCTTTTTGCCTATTTTGCTCCAAAATTTCATCCTTTTCTTTTTTTTTGGTCTATCCCATCTTTCTCTCTATCTCTCCCCGTCTTGCGCAATGAAAGAATGCATATGCTTTTTCTTTTGTAGGGCAAGACAAGACTAGATGAGGATCAAGCATCAGATATGGAGTGACTTGGATTTATTTTTGTTGTCGACTTCTCTTCAGTAGACTAGATAGGAAGACTATGGTCTACAACCATTTTTGTTGGCTTTTATATGTAAAATTGGGTTTTCCTCCAATATAACAGTTGTATCTCTTGCACAAATGTGCTTTATAAAAAATTTGCATTCACTGACGATGAATAAATCACTGATGATTTTATGCTGATACGAACCATGAAACCTTGAATGGCAATGAAAACTCTAGCTGAACTACTTTCTTTGTTGTTTGTTATTCATGTCAGTGTAGACGTATAAGGATAGAATAATAACACTGATTTGTTGTATTCACTCAGATTGCAATGATGATGTATGATGAATATCAGAGGGTTCGAGCAAAGTTTTATGTACTTGCGCTCTAAGACAAGGTGGTGAATAAAACTCTTAAATTTCTTGATGTAAGGGGAACTAAAAATTAAATATCGGTGCTTCCTAATGTTTTTTTTTTTTTTTTTTTGGTTTAAAGTCTTTTATCTATTTGTACTGTGATGATGGTGATGAAAAATGACGACAATGTTAGTGTTTCCTCATTAATTGGGTCAAGAATTGCACTTTTGTACATTTCGGTTTCACTTCACCTGATGGTTTCATTGATTTTTTTAACCATAACTGTATAAATCATATATCTACTCTTTACTTTTGTTGTCAAATTTCAAGGGTGATGGTTGTAGTAGATTCTTCTACTTGCCGAAATCTGTTAATCGCATAATCATATCATGCTTTGACTTCGATTCTGATGCATATTGACAACTCTGGACCTAGAACATTAATTGTCTTCTTCCCACGGCCTTGGCCATCTGTTTCCAAATACTTCATAAGCTGCTTCACTTCTTTTGACTATGCCTGTTTCTTTGTTTTGGGCTGTGATGAATGATGATTTCTCATTAGCTGACTTCAAAATTTGGCTCGGAGACTTACCATGTTGCGCTTCTGTTTGCTTTGCTTATGAAGTTTAAGTTGTGAGCCTAATTGTTTACTTAGAAACGAATGTCTAAATTCCTACTTTTGTCCAATCGCGCACTACGTTTTCATCTGAACTGCAAATTATGTTAAAATGGCTGCAAATTTCTCAGTCTTCATAAAATTTACATTTTTCTTTTGTTTCGTTGTAGATGGATGATTGTTATCTGTTGGAATGCGGTGCATCGGTCGTAGTTTTCATGGATTTCAATGGACTTTGTAGGACTTGCTTGAGACTTGAGGCATGCTTCATCCTAGTTTAATCCACAGAGTTGTATTTGTTCTACAATCATTCACCAAGTAGGTGCCATAATGATGATTTATGTTATTTTTATGATTAAATTTCCCTTCTTGACATCTCGATCATAACGAGGTTGAGGGCAAACATGTTGATGCAATTTCCAATCTCCGGTCTTGTTGATTTGTTTCGCGTTTTATTCAAGAGATAAGCCAATTTAACATTTCCTTTTTGGAGTTGCGGAGACCTCTAGGGTGGACCATGTGTAGAGCAGCCGGACCACGTAAGATGTCCAACTGCTCTCACAAACAGAGCCGCTTAAGTTTTGGTGGTTCTATAAACTCACTAATCTAATTTAGTTTTAGAGTTGTCCTAATCGACAACTCTATCGAAGTTTCTGTCCCTGAACTGTTTCAACCCCCTAAACAATCTTACCGTGAACGGTAAAGCAGGGTAGTTAGTATTGATTATATTTCACGTCACGCAGTGGTCGGACTTGGAGAAAGGTGACCAAGTCGTCGGACCTGCTTAGTCCTTGTAGGGTAAGAAGTTTGACTTTATGGAGCACCCAAATTGCTAATTGACCAATATTTTCAAAGATAATCTCAAGGGCGGTTCAATGCAGTTTGACCGTATATTGATTTGTTTAGAAGTGTTTTTAAACTGACTAAAAGGATCAGAGGTTTGCTGTCCTTAAATTGGTGTTTTTAAATCACGAAAACCAGTTATAACGTTGTTAAGTTTGGGGTTAAAGTTAAAGACATATGTCAAAATGTTAGAAAGGAGACACTAATTTAGGGACTGCAAACCTTTGACCAACTAAAAGCTTTTGTAGTGAAAATATTTATAGAACCAATTTTTAATGAAAATTCAAGTGAATTTGAAAAAAAAAAAACATAAAATACTTTCTACAGAAACATATAACTAATATTTTTAATTATTTTAAAAACAGGTTCAAAATAAAGACTCCCAATTAACGGGCATAGGAAGCAAACATAACCTTTTGCAAAATATACACGACGACCAGAATCCGACATCTTTTCGCATTTGCTTTACCGCCGACTCCGACGCTCAGTGCTGACCACAAAAATTCCCACAATTAATTACCCTTAATTAATATTTAAACCCGAAAAAAATGATTAAAGATGTAAACATGGTCAGCACTCAGCAGTCTCCGTCCAACGTCTGCAGAAATTTTTATTACGACGGATACACGGATGATGTACGATATGTTTTTATGTAACTAGTAGAAAAGTTTATTTTTTAAGTTATTAAATTTATTTTTTAAATTATTAACTTTTCAAAACATATATCTATAATAATATATAATAAATCATCTCATATACCGATGACACTATAATTTCCTCTAATGTCTGATGCTTCCTCATGGAGTCATTCTTACGAAAAAGTCAAATTATCCGCAACTTATTATTTATTTATTTATCTGCTTTCAGAATCTCAATATATCTAAATATTTTTGCTTTTATATAAATATATATATATATAAGCCTTCTATATATATGTGCTTCCAGCTTTCTTCCTCCTCAAATCTCTCTCCGTCTCTCATTCTCTTTTGGTATTTTGGTGCAGAGATCAAACTTCAATAATATCTCACAGAAAGAGAAACCAGCTCAAGTAATTCACAAATCAAACATGTTCCAAAAATTTGTACTTTTTCTATCAGAAATTTGAAATTTAAAATCAATCAAAGAGCTTAGCTTTAGCACCTGATCGAATCGAATCGAACCGATTTGAGTAGAGTCGAATCCGTCTTTCAATGGACTCGGAGTTCTGGACCTCCCGCCTCGCCGCCGCCAAACGCCAGTACACGATGCAGCACCACCACCAGAGCTCCCACTTCGGTCCGTACGCCCCTCTTCCTCCTCTGTTCTTGTTTTTCATTTCTGATCTCTATTTACTATTTCTTTTTCTTTTTTTTTTTTTGTTAATTCTGTGGAAAATTTTAAAAATTATAGATCGGTTAAGCATCGATGATTTCGAGGTAGAAGACGAGGTCCGACCCGACTTCCCGTGCCCGTATTGCTACGAGGACTTCGACATCGCGTCCTTGTGTTCCCACCTCGAGGACGAGCACTCCTGCGAATCTAAAGTCACCGTACGTTCTTACTTATTGTCTTTTTTTTTTGTTCGATTTAGTTTTTGTCGCATCAAGTTTTATGATTTGGTTCCTCCGGAGGACAAAGCTATGATCTTTGTCTTTTGTGTCGGCCAAATGTTATTACCCAATTTGGAAATCTGTGATTGACTTTTCGATTCATCAAAGGTGGCGTGTAACTACGTAACTGCTAAAATATCGTACCGTTTTCCTCTTTGGGAAATAAAGAAGAAGGAGAGGGCTATGAGTTCACCTAATTATCGTTCTTTTTGACCTGAAATGTTTGAAAGGATTCATACCATGGTGAAATGAATTGAATTTTGTTTTTGTTTTCGGTTAATTGCACGAGGAGTAAATACAACCAAAAATTTCCGAAATCAGCTAAATCGGGTGCATCTTGTATGCAAGCATATGATTCATGTTTTAGATGAGGAACGTGTGACATAAATGATTTTCGCACTCTCTTTTTGTCACTCTGCACCGCTATCCTTTTTTTCCTTCACTTTGCATTGATAAATCGAAGGAGAATCAGGGGATATAAATAAAGGGAGGAGTGGCGAATGAGAAAACAGCGGTGGTGGAAATCCCTTGATGAAATATTTGATAGACCCTTCCATAGACTGAAATTTGTGTGACGTATTTTGTATAAGAGGGCTAAAGTAGTTGATTGTTGCTTGCTTTTCTTCATAAGACTGAAACAAATGCATTTCCGGGTTTGTAAAACGCGTAGGGAAATAGGAAATCCATTCTAACTATTGTTGATGCTCGAGCAATCTCAAATATTTTGCGGCAAGTAAAACATGGATTGTCTTTGTAATATAAGTTGCAAAATTTATCAACCGGACTGTATTGCATACTTGTAACTTTCGCCCCTTATTTCTTATCCCTGAAATTGATGGCAGATGAGACTAACTGGTTTTGTGGTTTTCATCTATATTTTATTTTTTACTTCAGTCGATATTTCATGGAAGAAAGACGTGTTTTTACTTTCTTCTTTTGCAGATTTGTCCCATTTGCTCCGTTAAAGTTTCACGGGATATGTTAAGTCATATCACACTGCAGCATGGACACTTGTTCAAGATATCCTTTAAACTGGAAAATTTAGTAAATTGGAATTCTTGATAACATATCTATATACAAAAGCTTGATTGCCCTTTTAGTTTCCTTGACTGAATACCACTTGCAGAGACGTCGCAGATTGCGTAGAGTTGCTATTCCTAGCACTCAAGCACTGTCTCTCCTTGGCCGGGATCTCCGTGAGGCTCATCTTCAGGTGCTTCTAGGGAGCGGTGGATATCGATCAGAAAATGCTAATGTGTCTAATGCAGCAGCAACCGATCCATTCTTGTCATCACTTATTTTGAATTTCCCTGCTTCAGGAGCAGATGAAATTTCAAAATCTGTGGTAACCACTACTGAGGACACTTCTGCAAAGAATGCGGTGCCATCACATATTTGGAAATCAAGGTACTGTTTCATGTTTATCACAAACTGGTTTTAATTGACATCATCTTTCAATAGCCATTTAATTGTTCGAATATGGTGCATGACATGGTTCTCGTCGTCACACTACTGTTTGAATGCTGATTATCACCTAGTTGCTACCTTCCAATGTATAGCGTAAGTTTATTATTTCATGTACGTGGTTATTTCTTTCTTCCTAAAACTCGTTCTGCATGATATGAGTGCATCAAAATTATGGGTAGATAAAATCACCAACCTTGGTTGTACAGTATTGCCAACTTTTGTTTGGGTGGGTGGGGTGTTCAAGCCTCTTCAAGGTGTACATATTAGCGACCAAGGTAGTGCCAAGTCGATGCCTTGGTTTGAGTTTTGTGTGTTAATACAGGGATTCCCCTTCTGATGCAAGCAAATATTCTACTTTAAACGAATCTAAACTGTGGGGAGGGGGATTGAACTTGGGTGCATATGGGGTAGCACATTTGCTCTAGACAAAGCGACTACGCCCACGTATGCTGGGGTTCATGATTAGTGTGACCAAATCACTCAATTTATATGCATTTCTTAGTTCACCTAAAGGTGTAAACAATGATAATGAATCAGGGGTTAATGTAATCAGAACTGTTGATGGTGAAGAGGATTATCCGACGATGCCCATCTGTCCGGATTATGGCATGTGCAAACGCCTATAATGCTTTTCTTTGAATCTGAAATATCTCTCTCTTCTCTCTTTCTCCGTCTCTCTCTGTCTATCTCTTTTGCAGTTTTGATCCTACCTTGAGTTATGAAGAGCGGGAGAAAAGGATTCGACAAGCTACTGGAAGAGCTGGTTTCGTGCAAGATCTGTTCCTCTCAACACTGTTAGGTGACTGATTGGAGACAGTAAGTTGTATCTACGATAATAAAAATGATCAGTTATTCAAAATCTTGTTAGGGGGCACTTATGGGGCGGGTTTCTAATGGTTTTAGCTTCTTAAACAACCGAATATGTGCCTCGAATGAGATTAGCTATGAGTTTTTGATCAGAATATCTTTAGCACCTTTTCTTCGATAATGTAATGCGTTCTGAAGTCACGTTCGTTGTTTTAGTTAATGGAGAAGATTAATTTATGATAGTTTTCGGCTTTGTACATATAAACGGGTGAATGTTAAGTTTTCAGCAGATCAATTCAATCCTAATGAACAATGAAGCTTTTCAATTCATTCTGTTGAATTTAATATCATTGTTCCCGATATGTTCTTTTGGCCGGAAAATTTGTGAACAAAGCTACATAAGGGATGAAACAACGTTAGATGTGGATTATTAACCGGCTAAATTTTATTGGTCAGATAGGTGACGTGGTCGATTAGATTATTGGTTGGGATAGAGAAATGGATAATACAAAAGGATGATGACTTTGGCATGCAAAATCCGATTAAAAATCATGAGTTATATCACATAATTTTTTATGAAAAAGTATTTAGAATTCACAAGATTTTTCTGTTCACATTTAGGAAAATATTATAAATCATTTGGGAACAACCTCCAAACCTCCCTTCATTTCAGCACTGAAGCAAAAACCCTAAACCCTAATTTCCACCCCACTTCTGTATCCTACTATAAGCTTTTGGGAACAACCTCCAAACCTCCGAATCTGTTGCTGTGGGCAGGGAAATCCATGCTCACATGATCAGATTCGGAAATGTCGGTTTTTTTGGCACGCCCGGAAACTGGTTGACGAAGGTCCTGAACCAGATTTGGTTTCTTGGTCTGCTTTGATATCTGGGTATGCCCGAAATGGGCTTGGAAAAGAGTCCCTTTCGGCGTTTTTTGAGATGCATTCGTTGGGAGTTTAAGTGCAATGAGTTTACATTTCCGAGCGTTCTTAAGGCGTGCTCTATTACTAGAGATTTGGGACTCGGAAAGCAGGTTCACGCGGTTGCAAATACTTTGGTTGTAATGTATGCGAAGTGCGGGGAGTTTGGGGATTCTAGGAGGCTGTCTGATGCCATTCCAGAATGGAACGTTGTTTCGTGGAATGCATTGTTTTCGTGTTATGTGCAGAGTGATTTTCATGGAGAAGCAATGGATTTGTTTCAGGAAATGGTTCTAAGCGGAGTAAGACCTAACGAGTACAGTCTATCTAGTATAATAAACGCATGCACTGGGCTCGGGGATGGCAGCCGCGGAAGGAAAATTCATGGATATATGGTAAAGCTTGGGTACCAATCCGACTCATTCTCAGCAAATGCACTTGTTGACATGTATGCAAAAGTCAAAAGTCTTGAAGATGCAGTAAGAGTTTTCGAGAAAATCGCACAGCCCGATATTGTTTCCTGGAATGCTGTTATTGCTGGCTGTGTTCTTCACAAGTACCATGATCGGGCTCTAACATTTTTAGGCAAATGAAAGGGTCAGGAATCCGTCCAAATATGTTCACATTGTCAAGTGCACTGAAAGCCTGTGCCGGCCTGGGGTCCAAGAAATTGGGTAAGCAGTTGCACTCTTTCATGATAAAGATGGATACGGAATCAGATTCATTTGTCAATGTTGGACTGATAGATATGTATTGCAAGTGTGAGATGATGAGCAATGCAAGGGTTCTTTTTGACATGGTGCCGAAGAAGGACATGATTGCATGGAATGCTGTGATCTCAGGACATTCACAGAATGGGGAAGATATATAAGCCGTATTCCTCCAAACCACGGCAAGCATGCAGGCCATTGACGTTTGTGAAAAAGTTCATTCACTTTCTGTCAAAACAGGTTCTGAGTCTGATATATCTGTTATAAATAGCCTTCTTGATACATATGGAAAATGCGGCAAAGTAGAAGAAGCGGCAAGAATTTTTAAAGAACGCCCATTTGAGGATGTGGTGGCTTTGACATCGATGATCACAGCCTATTCGCAATATGAACAAGGAGAAGAAGCTCTAAAACTCTACTTGCAAATGCTGGAGAGGGAAAACAAACCCGATTCATTGTATGCAGCTCTCTTCTGAATGCTTGTGCAAATTTGTCTGCATACGAGCAAGGGAAACAGATCCAAGTTCACATTCTCAAGTTTGGATTCATGTCCGATGCTTTTGCAGGGAACTCTCTTGTTAACATGTATGCAAAATGTGGAAGCATAGAAGATGCAGATCGTGCTTTCACTGAGGTACCTGAGAGAGGAATAGTTTCATGGTCTGCTATGATTGGAGGACTCGTTCAACACAGGCATGGAAGAAAGGCCCTCAACTTATTCACTCAGATGCTCAAGGATGGTGTTTCCACCAATCATATTACTTTAGTAAGTGTCCTCTGTGCCTGCAATCACGCAGGTTTGGTAATGGAAGCCAAAAAGTACTTCGAGTCCATGACAGAGTTGTTTGGAGTTGTGCCGAGGCAAGAGCATTATGCTTTCATGATTGATCTCCTTGTCAGAGCAGGGAAGATAAATGAGGCAACGGAGCTTGTCAACACACAATACCATTTCAAGCGAACGCTTCTGTTTGGGGGCACTTCTTGGTGCTGCGAGAATCCATAAAAATGTTCAGCTTGGCCAGCGCGCTGCTGAAATGCTCTTAGTTCTTGAGCCCGAGAAATCTGGTACTTACGTACTTCTTGCAAACATTTACGCATCAGCCAGCATGTGGGGTAATGTGGCGAAAATGAGAAAACTTATGAAAGATGGCCAGGTAAAGAAGGAACCTGGGATGAGTTGGATTGAGGTCAGAGACCAGGTACATACATTTATAGTAGGAGATAGAAGCCATTCAAGAAGTGATGAAGTTTATGCGAAACTCGATGAACTTTTCGACCTAATGTGCAAAGCCGGCTATGTTCCAATGGTGGAGATGGACCTCCATTACGTGGAACAAGGCGAAAAGCAGCGGCTTCTGCGCAACCACAGCGAGAAGCTTGCAGTGGCTTTCGCGTTGATTGCCACTCCGCCGGGAGCTCCCGTCAGGGTGAAGAAGAATCTAAGAGTGTGTGGACTGCCATACAGCGCTAAGGTTCGTCTGTAAGATTGTTTCGAGGGAGATTATTGTGAGGGACGTCAACAGATTCCATCATTTCAAAGATGGTTCATACTCTTGGGGGGATTATTGGTGATTTTTGTGGAATTATGTTACAATTTTGTATGCCTATTAAAGTGTAATTTTTAATAAATTAGTTGATATTATTTTTATTTGAAAAAAAAAAAAGAGTTTATTCTTAAAAACCTTAAAACTAAAGCATTCAACAAGAACACCACAGATATCGGTAAATTTCTCTCGTACGGTAACCATGATGGAGGAAAAATAGTTATTTAATTCTCACAAAAGAATCACATTGGCAAATCAGTTTGGATTTGAACCATACGGATTCAAGTTCCAAATCAATTTTAAGAACGGATAATGTACAAGGTATAACATTTACAACAAAAGTATGTGTTTCTTCCCGATTTTGGTTTCTTACAACATCGTAGAATCCTCTGACATTATTGTCAATAACGAATACTTCACTCTCACTGAGATTCGCCCACCCTCTACACAGAGCTTGGCTCCGGTGACCACCCAATATCCTGGCGAGTCCTCGGGACCTCTTAACATTTCCTTGGTATCGACAAACATCGCCATTTTTGGTGCCTTGCTTGGTAAAGGTGGCCCTCTGGGGTAAACTGCTGAATTCAAATCCACTTTTATTGGCGTCACAGGCGGATACAATGCAGTACTGAACCTTGTGCTGATCAAGGTCGAGATGAATCCTGATTTTCGAGAAGAGCTTGAGGGTCCTTCCCACTCTGATCTACGGAGTTTTGCAGATGCCACTGTTGAAAATCCAAGCCTCAGGAACAAAACTTTCCTCATTCCGACAGACTTGGCTTCAAACCATGCCTTCGTCACAATTGAAGCGGAATCATCAATACAGGCCCCATTGTACTGTACTGGGGCAGTGCATACATGTGAAAATATGCTCCACTTGACAGGTTCAAAGTAGCCTCGTTCCTCTGGCTCAGCAATTGGATCATAACTGTGATCGTCTGAGAGTTGGAGATTATTGGGAAGAGTAGAAAGGTGCTGGAGATGGATTGCCAGATGGTCACTTTTCTTACCCTCAAGATACAAACGCATTCCTGTCACTGGTCGATTTCCAGTATCAACCTGAAAATTGTAAAATTAGAAACCACAATCCATAGGCGATAACTTGAGTAATAGGATCAATGAAAATGTGAACAATTTTCCAGCACATTTCAACTCATTTCACGTTTTGCAAATCGAGGTAAAGAATAGTGCATCTTTCAACTCATCGGCACAACAATTTTCCAGTTTTAAGGAATTTCTTAAAGAGTTCGTCGCTTGATAAAACACATAAAATTAAAAGTCTTCAAAGAACAAGGAATTCCCAACATGCTATCAGCAGCTACTCTGTCAATATTTTACATCACAAGATATTTACCTTCATAGTGTTAACGTATAGCTTTGGGCCCATAAAGGTGAACTGAAGTGATGGGGATACTTGTTTTCTGTGCCTGAGACCAAGAGGCAGATCGCCATACACTGGAGCCCATTGACGTGGTAACTGAAATTCCAAAAATTGATGGAGTTCCTCTATTGGCGGTTTGTCTGCAAGGTTTATCATAGAAACATGAGTGTTTTCAAACTTTTTATGGGAGAATAATTTAGCTACTGGGATCGTACATCTAAGGTAGAGATTCACTGCATGACTTAGAAATCCAATTCCTTGGACACCACCCAACAGAGAGGTTATGGGCACGAAGGACATCGATATGACATTAGGTGACTCTGATACAGTTGAAAGCCACTTGTTATGACTTTGACCACTATCAACACCTCCCCTTCGAACACAAACAGTAACTGTACCCTGCATTATTGAAAAATATAGATATCTTCATCCATCCAATGCAGGTTGATTGTTTCACATTCAATAAATTTGTGAAACAAGTGTTAAAATGGACACCAAAAGGCTTACATCATTCCTTTGTGTGATGATAGGTGACCTTATTAAGGGTGCATACGTTCTACGAACATCCCAGTGCATAGAAACGTCATGCTGAAACAACAAACATAAAGTTAAAATTAAAATAAGTCACTTCATCAATTTCCAGAACTTCCACTTTCATAATTTCGTACCAAGATAAAACAGAAGCGCATAAGATTCTAAGAAAAAGAGGCAAGGTTGTACAATTCAAAATTCGGCCTACCTTCGTTTTTCCTGATAAATCATTGGACTCCGA